AACTGTCCTTCCTGGTGGATCGCCTCCTGGCTACGCTGTCCTTCTGCTGGGGCCTGGACTGCTTATGTGTTTTTGCATGACAGTCATCACTAAAATAGATAATCAGCATTGGGAGCCCAACTAATCTCAGGGCTTCCTCCCAGCGCAGTACCCACCACGCAGGGCCAGGGTAACACTTCTCCTTATCTGCTCTACTTCCAGCTCTCCAACTAGGGTTGGCCATCGTAGAGGACAGTTCAGTTGTCCTCTGTCCTCTGTTGCTACAAAACCGGATGCCTTTATGTCATCTATTTTTCTCTTGAAAATAGAGGACATAAAGGGTTTTTTTGGGTTTCATATCCATAGAGGACAGAGTAGCAGAAAACTGGAACATCCTCTATGATGGCCAACTATCTCCAACTCCTGTGCTCTTGGCTGCTAAGTAGCCTTTCTCCACCAGTGTGTCCTCAGCCCTGCCCTGCTCTGCCGAGGCTGATGATTAGAGCCCTGTCCCGGGAAGCTGGTGATGTGGGTATAAACTCCCTCCAGGCCTAAAACCCAAATTTCCCACTTGACTAAATGAGAGCCCTAACCACTAGGTTCTTGGGCCAAAGATGGGTGAGCTCTGCTTCTCAGTCAGGTAGGCACCTCCCCTCTCTGTGCCAGGTGAAAGAGGTTGGGTGTGCATCTTCCTAGGATGGAGTAGGATCAGCCCTGGTGGGGTACGCATTTGAGGAGGGGAAGCTTGGTGCCTTAATGATGGGATAGTAGAAGGTCAGTCTTGAGGAAGGCACTTACATTTGAGGCAAGCAGCAAGCAAAGGTGAAGGTGCCTCAGAGGCAAGGCAGGAGTTCGGCCTTAAGTCTTTAATTGGCACTTTGAAAGCACACCTAACTTTTCAAAAGCCTGCCTTAGAGCTGAGTTACAGGTGAACTGACTTGCCTTTTATTAAAAATAAACTGTCTGAGATCTCAAAAGTTTGAGGAGCCAATTTCCCGTCTGTGCAGAGAGCATGGAAAATGTACCGCGCAGTGGGAAGCAAGCTGGGGTGTGCGTGTGCATCACAATCACACTGACCTGGTTGCCACCACACCAGGTAGCTGTTAGGTGGAAAGGTACACAGTAAACTAGTAGGAACAGTTTTTTTGGCAGGCATGCCACAAATTAGCCCCACACTCTCCATGAGTGCCACTCTAGTCCTCTTCCTCTGCTTGATCTGCTGCTCTGCTTTCTGTTCCCTTCCCTGTTGGCCACTTTGTGCTGCCTGCTTCCTCCCCGATCTACCATGTGCCACACACAGAGGTTGCCCAGGCACTTGTGGCATGTGTGCCACAGGTTGCCTCCCCCTGTAGTAAATGCAGAGTGCATAATATTTGAAAGTAAGGTTACAATGCGATCCCAGGTGACTTTTAAGTCTGATCCAAAATCTAACGTATACGTGGCAGTCCCATAGAAAGTCGTGGAGATACCACTCATAGTTCAAAGGAGCATGAGGCCAGTTCTTGAGCTGGGGGTAAATCAGCTCTATTCAAGTTTGTGCAAATAGATGAAGTGACACCCCCTGAGAATCTGTCCCAGAAACCTGGCCATGACAGATCAGACCCTTAGCATTTATGGTTTTATTTACTACAAAAAGGGGAGTTCTCTTCTGGGAGGGTTGTGGCGGGGGTTGATGTGTAAAATAGGGACCAGGCAAAACATCTGGAAATACAAAACGGAACAGGCTTTTAAAAAAACAGCTGCAGTCTTGTCTTGTAATAAAACAAACAGAAGGATTATTTCAGAAGTCTGATTATACGGGTCTAAGAGAGCAAGGGGGGAAGTAGCAAGAACGCATGGCAACAAGGATACATTTGGCTGGTCAGAACGCAGCGATTCTCAACTGGGGTGCCGTGAGATCATGTCAAGGGTGACACGGGGTTAAGTGTCCAAATACCTACGCATAATTCACAAGATAAACCCAAAGATTTCAAACAGGAATCCATGGTGTCAAAAACATTCTGCCCTGTTGTAGTCTTTTTGAGTTATTTGCATTGCTCTATTATTTTTTCAGTCAAAAATTAGTCAAAGCTAAGAAGTAGCAGTTTCTGAGAGGTGCCTTTGCTATAACAACATGGCTTGGGAGACCATGTGCGTCATCGGCCCTGACATTTATTTTTTTTTTACTTTGTGACAAACTGATTCATATTAGGTTTGAATCATACTGATTTTTATTCAGCCCTGCCAATTTTTTTTTGGCAAGAAACAAGCAGATGACCAACAAGGAAATTAAATAAGGCCAACTGGTTAGCTCAACCCTTCTTGATAGGTATCGGATACCAGAAAAAAATCTGTCATCACATACCTCAAACTGCAGATTAGCGCCCATGTACAAAGCTGATAAATGAAACCATTCTAAGCACTTAGTCTTGTAGTACAGCTGGAGCGGTACCAGAACATAGGCTGTGATGCCGATGTTTAATCCTTGGTGAGATTGTATGTTTCTTGTACGCTAAACCATCTGCAACTCAGTGCCGAGAGATGAGTTGATGTTTCAAGAGAAAAAAAAAAGTATATATTTAAAATCACAACTGTACCGGTTCTTGTTAGTAACATACGTTTTAGAAGTTGACCTTGGAGTCCTATAGCTTAATGTGAACTAAATCATAGAAAAGTAAGGCTAGAAGGCACCTCCAGAGGGCATCTAGTCCCAACTCCTGCCTGAAGCAGGATCATCCCTGTCTAAACCATACAAATCCATTGTCCAACCTATTAGTAAAACTACACAGTCAACCTGACACAACCACAAGACATAACCTGCCTCAGGCAAAGTAGGGGGACCATGGTGGCCAATGTCCTGCTGCTACAAGGATTACTCCTAGATCATCCATGACCAAGGTTTGTCCAGTCTCTTCTTAAATGCCTCCAATGATGGAGCTTCCACAACTTCCCTAAGCAGTCTGTTCCTCCACCTCCCCGTTCTATCAGTGCAGAAAATTTTCTTAATGTCCATCCTCAACCTACTTTTCTGCAACATCAAGTCATTGGTCCACATCCTGGTCTATGGACTAAGAGAGAAAAGGAAAAAAAAAGTCTCATTTTGGTAGCATCCCTGGCAGGTACACAGTCTTTTTCTGAAAGGGATCAACCAATGCTCTTTCCATGAATCTAGTGAGCTGTAGATCACTTCCTAAGTGCTTTCAACCAAATCTGTAGGCATTGTCTCTTTATTGGAATTGAGTGTCTCCAGCAACTTCCTAGAAGCCATTCAGTACCATGTAAGAAAAAACCCTTAGTTAAGCTCTTCCCCTATTCTACAGTCACACTATTTTTCTCTCTCCACATTTTTTGCTAACAGAAGTCAGTTTAATATTAATCCCTACTGTGTGCCTATAAAATCTGTTGTAGGTCTGTTTGTCTGTTTATTTATGGATACTGTATATTTTTATTCACCAGATGAAATTAATGTTTGGAATGATAACTTTCATGATCATTTTTCCAAGGCTGATATATGCATATTCATGAGCGGTATCAGTTTTACATCTGAAATGTCTAGCTCCAGCTCTTAATACTGATTGTCCACATCTGGGGTGGCTTATGACCTCCATCATTTGTTATAAATGCTATGCAGCCCTGTAAATTACTGTATACATTTGCTCAATGAAACCACCATGATGAAAGCCAGAACTGCTTAGGAAATGTCTGTAGAAATATTGGGAATAGAGCAGAATATTTGGGGTACCAGATACTGGAGGAAAATTGCAGAACAGGAGTTAATTTGTATTGATACTGAAGTGAATCAAGCTGTCTTCTAATTGCCTATTTCAAACTATGCCCTGAGCTGGGATACGTCTCTGAAACGTCTACATTACACTTTGATTCCTTCTTTTCTCTGTGGCTAGGGACAGAAGTTACACACAAACCAGTTTAAGCCATCAGAAACTGATTTAAACCTGTAACAGAACAGAAGTTCAGTGCACATAAACCAGTTTCAAAATGCCTGAAACTGGTTTAAGATAACCCTGGTTGAATGTAGTATCAAACCTAACTGATTTGGGTCAAACTAGTTTATGAAACTTCTGTCCCAGACCCCTTCCTGGTTCAAGTTAAATCATAGTCCCCCAACATCCCAGCATGCTTTGCAGCCCTGGGCTGGGCTGTGCTGTCTGTTCCTGAAGAGAAGAGTTGTGGGGGTAGGCAGGGACCAACCCCCACAGGCAAACCCCAGCTGGGGTCTGGAGCCAGGAAGGGGGGTTAAATCCACCTTCCCCAGAGTACACAGCTGTCCCGCCTTGCTAAATTTACTGAAACTTACTGCTGGCTGTGACTGTGGACTGCAAATCCCAAAGGCACCTGGAAGCAGGAAGAGGAAGTGACGAGCAACCCTGCAGAGTCCTGCTGCTGTGATTCTGGACTGCAAATCCCAGAGACTTCGGGGGCAGCAGGAAGAGGAAGTGAATGCAGAGCCCATGCTGGTTACATGCCAGAGAGGTGTGCTGTAGCAACCCCCAGCTTCTGACCTGAGCCACTGCAGGCATGTGGCTGCACTCCCTGAATCAAAAGTAAATGTATGGCCATTTGTTTCTCAGTTTAATCTCTGCAGTTTAGACTAACCTGCAAAGACTGAATCGATTCAGCCTCGGGCTTTTTGACTGTCTGTACTTAGCCTGTCTGTGACAGCCAGTTGTTATAGGCCACAGAGGTTCTTCTGCCCATTCATGCTATCAGTACTATTGAAGGAAACAGTTCAGAAATTTAATAGTTTTTCTTTCTTCAAAGTTCCTAATTAAAACCGTGTCTTTAGGGTTCTGCACGTGTGTGATATTTATAACTAAATATTGTATTATCTAGACTCCAATATGCCTCTAGTGATAGACCAAATTAACTGTACAAAATGCTGTTTCCACCTGTAAACTTTAGCAGATGTTTGAATTGTGGTTGATTTACAGCATGTCCAGCATAGATTTTACACTCTACTTGTTGTAGCTGCATGTGATCTATTTATGAATGCTTTACAGCATTATTTTATTGTTTTATTGCAGTTTGAAGGGTGCAACAAGGCATTTTCTAGGCTTGAAAACCTTAAGATTCACCTGCGGAGTCATACTGGGGAGAAACCCTACCTGTGTCAGCATCCTGGCTGCCAGAAAGCTTTCAGTAACTCCAGCGATCGAGCAAAGCACCAGCGAACACACCTGGACACTGTAAGCATTCTGTTATCTCATCCTGTGGCTTGCACTGTGGTTTCAAAGTGTTTGTACAAGTTCTGTATTGAAACCAGCACATGACATCTCCCATTTAATGAAGATGTCGCAGTCTTAGCTAGGAGAAGTAAAGTAAGGGGTGCTTTGATTTTTTTAGTGGCATGCATATTTGGAAACCAAGGAGGAGATTTGCTTTCACCAACAGCTTGATTTTGCTGCCTTTCCTCCTACCATGGAGTATCTCCCTCTGCAAATGCTCCTGTCGGTGCTGCTTAAGAAGCGGAAATCCCTGTGGAGAAAGGTACTCCTCCTTGTGAACTAGGATAGCAAAGTCAAGGCTTGAATAATTGTCACCACAATAAATTTGATTGGCTTTTTGCTTCTTATCAAATCTCACCTTGATAAAGTTTGGTCTAGATGACCAGAGGGGTATGACAAATGCCTCAAATGGACAATCAATTTAACGTGGATATGGACACTCTTTTGTAACCAAAACATGGTAAGAGTGTGTCAACTGTGACTGTGAGATGCCTAAACAGTGCTATGAAGCATCTGCACTCAACATGAAAATTAAGTTCTCCTCTTTTATTCACCTGGCAGGCCTCACTTCTGAGACTCTGCTCTCCCAATTATTTGCACAGAATAAGGGCCTCCTCCAAAGTCCAGTGATGCTACAGAAAGTCTTTGAACTTTCTTACAGCTACAGGCTTGGGATCCAGCCCTTGGAGCATATGGCAGGAGAACCAAATATCAGAGTTGAGATCTGTGGTGTGGTTCCTAGAAGCTGATTTTTGCCTATCTGGAATGGTTTAGTGCATGGGAAGAGACACAAACTGTGCCTCTGTCCTTGATAAACCCAGAAAGGCCATGTTATCTGGCTGCACTTCAGAGGATGTCTGAATTTCTGATGTATCATCCTTTCTTCATGGTTCCTTCTTTCAAAAAAACCCCATTCTAAAATATTTAATTCATGCCAAGGATGTCTTAACCTCTGATATGATTAAATCACCCATTTTATGACAAAGGGAAGCAAACCGACAACCTCATGGACCAATTCAGTCCCCAGCCCAGAGCTTAGAAAGAATAACACTACGAGTTGCTCCTTTGTCTTTTTCAAAGAGACGAATATACAGTTTAACGTTCATCCAAGTGTTTATGGGGCAGAACTTTGGAGTTTAATTGATATTTACTTTTTGAGCAGCTACACGTTTCAGCCAATGCAGCAGTGAGGAATGTGTAGTGTACATTATGCCTTGCAAAAACAAACAAGTAAGAGAAGCGGGGCAGTCACATTTTCCAAACCCAAGCACACTTACAATAACAATGTTTTATTTATTTGAAAGTCACCCTGAGATATTTGAATTTGTAATTAGTTCTAAAATGTGTCTCTTTTGAAACTGAATATATGGTACTGGATGCACATTTGTAAAGTTTGGCAACCTCCGGTCAGCACACACACACGCACGTGTGTGTGTGTGTGTGTGTGTGTGTGTGTGTGTGTGTGTGTGTACTGGCTTGAGGTCGTCAGACTTTACAAATGTGCATCCAGTACTGTATATTCAGTTTCAAAAGACACACACACACACACGACTCGCAAGTGCAATGTCCTTTCGTAGCAGCACGTTTGTAAAACAATAGTCCGTTGAATAGCAAAGTTCTTGTGTCTGCTGATCTGTATGCTATTGCAAAGAACTCTCTTAACTTTCTATTCTCTTTTCTTCTCCTTTTCTGTTTCTTTAATATCTGAAATGCTCATAAATCAGCAAAAAGGTACAGTAATCATTTTTGACTAACTTTCCAAAGCGCTGAACAATGTCACTGTGTCTTCCCTGATGTGGATGCATTAAAGCGGTCGCTACAGTTGGTCATTGAATGGGGACACGGATTCATTTGCCTGTTAGCTTAAGGAGCTGTAGTTTTTGCTTCGCGTGTTGTCTGTTTAAGAGTGAGAATGTGAAAAATGTAATAGAGGGCTGCATGATGGTGTTACTGTCAAGACTGCATGTAATATTAGCTGAGAGGAGAGTGTAAACGTCAAAGCAAATAGGCTAAACCTTCTAAGGATAGGCAGCTTTCTGATCTCGCTTCCACATCGTTAATAATGTGTTCCCATGATTAGGCAGCTCCTCTGCCAGTTGTTCTATGAAGGATTTTGTTCAAGGTTTCCATAGTCTTTCCTCAGGTGTCGGTTCTCTCTGTGTCCCAGACGCTCTCAATAAAACAATTTTCCTGTGAACGTTTCTGGGTAGGTTCTGTGTTAGCCTGGAGTTGGTGAATGGGTCTATTATTCCTTTGGAAATTTCCTGCTGGTAGATGGAACAGGGCTACTTATCCTCTGGAGGCACCTACAAAGAAAAAGGGGTTTATATGGACTGTTTATTTGTTATTGAGTACATTTGGGATTGATTTTAAGACGCTGAATATAGGACAATCTATCATTTACCTTCTCCTAAAAGAGAATCTGTAAACAGTGTCAGCGAGCTGCCAAGTGGGCTGATTTGATGAAAGAGCTGAAAGGACCAGGTCACGTTGTAAGGGTTATTTATCTCCATGGCAAAAGCAAAGCTAGGGGAGTTACCTGTGCTGGAGACAGGAGAGAGTATCCTTGCTCCCCCGGTGCCAGTGGAATTCATTTTGCTTGCACCAAGCTGGAGCTTGTTCAAATCAAGCACAGGGCTGTATGTAAGCCTCAGATGAAGCACAGTTCAGCAGCTCTAGATATAGGGCTGATGGGGGTCTCGGCCTTTTCTGCTGCGGGGCAGGACTGCCGAATCCTGCCTCCAGCACCCCTCTGTGAGCACAGCCCCTTCTTTAAATGGCAGGTTTGCATTTCTGCTCTGCTACCAGCTCACTACCCTTCACAACATCCAGCCTTTTCATGAGGCTTGAATAGCGCAGATGGCCTTGCATCGACTCTTTGCACCACAGGCGACTTTACCCTTGCTGGTTTCTTTTTACAAAGACTGAAGATGTGACTCGAGGTGTGGACAGACACAGTGGGTCTACATTAGTATAAGCTGTCATAACGCGACTGTGAGTTAATAAGTGAGCTAAATCACTCTAGCTTTAACACCGAATGTAAAACAGGAAGCAGCTTGCCTACCGAGCTAGACTGGGCCGTTCTTGCCATTGATAGGGCAGAGAGAATATCCTTTTCTATTATGTCTAAGAGACCTGTTGGGACAGGCCCTCTAAAATAGGCTGATCTCCCCAGGAGAAGATCTCCATGTTGTATCTGGTAGAAGAGGTGGCATCTGGGAGATAGTCATAGTTAGAAAAGCCTTTCCCTGGCCAGGTCAGCCATGCTGTTTTCTTCCGCACACATTGATTTTCTATACTATTCGTGAGCTGATGCCAGCTGTTTGTGGGAGTATGACTTGTGTGTAAATAAAGTCTTTCTGGGGGTGTTTGAAACATGAGCAATGCATGAAGGAACCTCAGTGTTCATGGTATATTCTGCCTTGAGTTATGCATCACAATATACATGGCATTGGCAGTGAAAAACCCATGGGAAGTCATAGCCAGGAGCCAGGCCTCCTTTAGTTATACAACAGATCTTTAGAGCACTAGTCCCACATTGAATGGATGCATGCAAGGTTGATAACATGGATAAAGTATCATGTTTTAGACTTGTTCATAATTAGAAATATCTTGACGTTCTCAAAACTCGACCAGTTGCTCCTCATCTCTGATTGGCCCCAGTCCAGTAGGAGTTCACGTGGCCTGCTCTCAGCGGTTGAACTGAGTCCAGAACCCCAGCCATGGTGGCACGCTGGCTTGCTTGTACATAGCAGTACAAGCTAGAAGTTGCAAGCCGAGCAAACAGCTTGCGTTTTACAATACGCTTTCACATCAGTTACAGTCCCTCGATGTGTTGAACAGTTAGCATACAAAACAGACTTCATATTATAAGGCGGGCGCTTAGAAAGCTGAAAGGTTTCTCTCTTCCACGTGTTTACAGAAACCATATGCCTGTCAGATTCCTGGGTGCTCCAAACGCTACACGGATCCAAGTTCCCTGCGCAAACATGTGAAAGCTCACTCTGCCAAAGAACAACAGGTGCGTAAGAAGGTAAGGCCATCAATCAAATATGTGGCATGATCAAACGCCCACTTCCCAACATTTTGTCAATATGTTTGCTTTTAATGGGCCCGTGAGTTATGGGGGGGGGGGGACTTCAAATGAGGATTTTGCTGCAGTATTGCTGAAAAAACATCGAACTAGAGTTAATTTTCCTGTTAAGCGCTGCTATTAATCAGTCTCTCATATTTTTGCAGTGGATTTGGATGCCATTTTTCCTCCCACTGTAGATTGACTTCTTCTGCACTTTTAATTTAGCCTCATCTATCAAATTCCATCCTGTTCGTCTTTCAAACATAAGGGTTCAGATTTGGTTCTCCCTCCCACCCAAATCTTCTGAAATCAAATGGATCGCTTGATCAGCAGTTCATTTAAAATACAGGGGCACCTATACGTGAGCAGCAAGGCTGCTCCGATGCGCTGTAGTTACAGGGCATCGGAGCAGACTCAGTTAATCAAGTTTGCTGGAGTGTGGTAATTACCACGCTCCAGCAGCCTCCAGTGTCTTGGTATCAGCGTCCCTGCACTTAAAAAATGGCAGTGGGGGCACTTTATCTAAAGCTCCTTTGATAAGCTTTAGATAAAGCACCTCTGCTGCCATTTTGAACTGCAGGGACACTGATACATGAGATGTTCGAGGTGCTTTAGTTAGAGCGGCTCTCGGAGCCACTCCTTATTAAAGTGCCCCCACGCCCCACTCCCAGAGCACATATATAAACACCCCAAATGTCAAGAAAGATATAACATTTTTAATAAGTCAGAGAAAAAAAAGCTTTCACTCACATCTGTATTTTAAATGCGCTTATAAGTCACTTGAAACCCAGACTGTATTCACATGTATTATGCATTCATTAGTCTTACAGCCAGACAAGTGCCCAAAACAGGATTCTTATTCTTCAATCCCAAATTCATTGTTGTTGGTGTTATGGGCACAGTCAGACATCAGAGCCCGGTTGTGCCAGGAGTTTGTCCACATACAGAGTTAATAAAAACATGATCATGTCCCTGAAGCCCTTGCAGGGGACAGGAAAGAACAAGTGAGTACTACAGCCGGGAGGATGGAAGGGAACGCAATGGTAACAGCGAGGCAGGTGGGATTGCGACAGGGGGGAGCAGCCACAGCATGCCAGTTGCCTACCTAATGGCAAGAGATCATCAATATGATAGCAAGGAGAGCATTAAGGACAGGGTAGAGCAGAGGGGAGGTGACAGCATGCCTAGATACAGGAGTGGGTACAAGCAGGGACTGGGTCACTGAAGAGCCTCAAAGGAAAGGACCAGAAGCAGTGAGGCACGGGAACCTTTGAAGAGGCTCAAGGAGAGAAAAAGCCATCTCGGACTAAAGGTTATCTCAGCTGGGGAATTTTAAATGGACCAGGAGAAGGAAGGGGGGAGTCAGGAAGACCAGGGAGGAAGAAGGTGAGGCAGTCAGGACAGCAGGTGATGATAAGCGGGCAACATCAGGGATGCCTCGCTCTGGGCTGTGTTGATCAAGTGTCCTGACCTGAATTCAGGAAGGAAGTTTGCCTTCTAAGGACTGAGGCTTCAATGACCTGCCCCCTTCCCCTGTACCGGGTACGAATGGTGGGAGGACAGTGCAATAGCAAGCACGTTCTGCTGATGGGACATGAAGTAACATCCTTCTGCATGTGAGGTCACCCATAGCTCCCTGCACGAGAGCTGCAGTTTCAGGGGTTGTAGCGTGTGGGGTGATAGCGGAAGGAAAGGACCGGCAGGAGGAGGACTGCTTCCAGTGCCATCACCAGCAGCGTACTCCTGGGTGTTTGCAGTGTACTGTCTGTACTGTGTCATGCGCAAACACTCTTGCTGCAACCCCATCTCACCCTGAAACCGAGCGGCATAGATTAGGCCCAAGAGCCTTTCCTCTTCCCTGTAGTTCTGTTGTTTTGCTCCCAGTTTCTTGGTATGCTTTTGCAGGGCCTGTAACAGGGCATCAGGAATAGAGGTAGAGTTCTTGTGCTGACTCACCCTGATGTCAGGACCTTGAACAGAGATGTAGTTATCTTTGCCAGTTTATGCTGGCAGCCAGATCACATGGGATCTGTTAGCTCCACATGAAGCATTTCCTGTCTCCTCTTTGGACTTGCTTCCCATCGGGAAGATGGTTTCACTATTAGTAGTGTTTTGATGATTCAGTTGCATTGGCTCCAGCCCTACAGAGACTCGTGGACATGCTTGACTTTAAACATGGGAGAAGTCCTTTGCATTCAGAGCACACATCTAAGCATCTGTATCATTAGGAATTATATTCATGTAGATCTCAGAGCTATTCAGATTTTTTTTTTAAAACCCACCTCTTGCAATAGTGGCGGGTTTAAATTGTAGGTGCTATAAAAAGGAATCAAAGTAAGAATCATCAAAATAAGCATATTACCTAAAAATATGGTAGGAAATAAATCTGTGCAACTGCAAGTGTAGTTCACTATAACGGAAACTGCGTCTCCAGTCTCAAATGCAGGGGACACGTCAAAAAAGGAGGGGAGGGGGTGTTGATCCTTGTTTCATTATTTCCATTTATGACTCAGCAAAGCAGAGCTGTCTGCTCTTATCAGCGTTTGCCATGTCCTAACTGGAACGGACTTAGCCAAGACAGAAAAATGAACAGGCTGGTCTGCGCACATGCTACCAAAAAGCAACATCTTTGATATAAAAAAGTGCTCTGAGCCAAGATTTACATCAAAGGAGCCTGGAATAGCTAGGCCATACCTTCGAGAAACACCGCAACGGCAATGTTAGATCTTCCTCGACTGTTTTAGGTGAACAACATATAAAGATGCTAGAAGTTAATTTAGTAATAGTTAAAGTTTTATTGGCTTCAGCTGCAGATTGTGATCCACAGTGTTAGATACGTATCTTGAACAAACAAATGCCTCTATAACAGGACTCAAAATAGGCTCGCTTGGACCTTTCATTTAAAATAACTAAACCCAGGAGAGAGCAGCATACAAAACTGTAAACTTCAAAACAATAACTATTTATTAATGGCCATAGGACGTGATGGCTGCTTGTGTAACGTGAGCATCTATTATGACAAAAGTTTGGCAACATCAGCATGTTTGAAAGAGAATTAGAAATGCTTTTCTTTCTTAATTCTCCTCTCCTGCTGCTTTTAATATGATCGACATTGTGGTTTTCAAGAGCATGCTTCAGACACTTTTGCCAAAGGATTAATTTACATGGAAAACAGCTGACACGTCAGTGATACCTCTGACTCGTTACTGACAGCGCAGCCTTCCGCCAGC